ACACACTTCCCCTTACTTCAAAGATGTATTTATTTAAACAGGAAATAAATTGATTTCTCTCTGAATGAGAAACATTTCACCTCTCAGATGTGAATTTATTCGTTTCTTCCAATTTGTAAATATATTTGTTTCTTCTCTCTGATCGTCGGCCCTTTCAAGACGTCATCTCTGCTTTTAGGATCAAAACGTTTAAATCCTCTTGAGTCTCTTCAGCTCAACGAAACAGAAACCCGAGCGATGAACCACGTCTAGAATTTATTAATCATTTATTCATAGAGTAAAAACAAACAAAAGATCAGTTTTCATCTCCTCAAATGTGAGGATTTGATGCTTTTTCATCTCATTATAAACTGAATATCTTTATAAATATGTAACTATGTTTCTTTGCTGCGAGACAGTAAACTGAATGTCTTCGATTTAAAACACTGGACGACGTCGTCTTGAAACATTTTATCGACTAAACTCGTCGACGAGTCGAGTAAATAACCAACACGTTAAACAACATAATGGTGAGTTAGATCATAAGAACATACAGGCACAACATCATTGCATTTAAAGTTGTTTTAATTAAGGAAGTGTTATACTTTCACTCTAGGAAGAAACAAAAGAATCTGGAGGTTTGGGTCACAACTTTGTTTTAAGAAATTAACCTTTTTATTGTTATTTTAGACTTGAAGTTCCTTTACACAATACATTTTCCTTTATACGTATTTCAAAATATCTTCTGCTGGTTTGCGCGGTAATATTTTTATGTTCCTATAAGTAGAATCTCATTTTTAATATAGTTCTCTTTTTGAAAACAACACAAACAAACATCCATCGATGTTTCTGTCCAGCGTCTTCACGTGATGGAAGACGTTAACGTCGGGCTGAGACGGCCGTCTGTCCAGCTCTGACCGAGAGAGGATGATGGGACAGCGGTCTGGAAGAGCTCGAAGGTCAGAGGAGCTCCCGTCCAAAGCGCCAGATATTTGGACCCTTGTAGCGCCACAGAGGGAGAAGTCCTGTACGGAGGTCTGGGTGTTGGCCCCTTGGTGGTGGTGGGGACCCAAACACAGCCCTCCACCATGTTGGCCATCGCTCTCAGACACCAGGGATGCTCTGGTGCCAGGAACTTCTGACTCCGACTGGAAAGGTATGCTTTTTGTAAATACGGCTAAGATGGTATATGTATAACATAAAACCCAGCTGACCCGCTCTGTTGTTGACTTCTGGAGTCAAAGCTTCACGTTCTTCACGTCTGCACACTCGTGTCGTTGTTTGGGCTTTAAAAGATAATCCTCTGAACGTCCCCTCTAATATTTTGGGTAATCTTTTTTGATTAACTGCATCCAAACATCCACAGCAGCGTTCTACACATGTATCTCAGGTTCTCATCTGACCGACCTGCTGCAACAACAACGTAATATAAACCCCACAATCTGCCCCGAGGAGAGACCTGGACCGGAACAGGAACACAATGGATGCTTTTTAGTTATCTCTCCTTAAACTGGAGGAAGAAACATCTTAAAACACGCCTCCACGCTTTGTTTAAATATAAACTATGTTGCAAATAGGAAAAGCATTCATTGGCTTTATTTCTAAGTTATAAAAACCAAATCTGCTGGTTTTAGTAGGTTCTCCCTCTCCGCTCTTTTATTATTTCATCTTTTAACAATAAAGCACTCTTTTCTTCCTCCTCTCATTTTACACATTTCATCTACTTTCTCAGAGATCACTCCAAACCCTACGAACGTTTAGGATAAAACACCAAATATTCCCCCCGCACATGTATTTTTTTGTGTTTTTTGTTAACGCCACATTACTTTAGAAGGCTATTACAGCACGATTTGTCATGCACTTGTCATTTTTCTTGTTTTTATGTAAAATACACCCTCTAGACTGCAGATGTGTCTGTAACCAACAGCTGGTTTCTTTATTCTCTAAATCAAAACAGAAACAAAAGATCAGTTTTCATCTTCTCAAATGGGAGGATTTGATGCTTTTTTTCTGTTTTACATTATTATAAACTGAATATCTTTGTAAAATATGCAACTTAAATAACTTTAGAAATCTTTGACGGTGATTTTTTTTCTCCATTTGAAAGTATTTTTATGGACTAAAGGAACAATAATATGCTGCACAACGAACAGTTGAGCTGCAACCATTTGTCAATAAATCGTTTAGTTGTCAAATTATAAATTAATATGCAAATATTTTGATAATCAATTCATCGGTTTGAGTAATTTCTCAGGGAAAATTCTTTAATTTCAGCTTGTTGAGTGTGAATATTTTCTGGTTACTTTGCTCCTCTGCGACAGTAAACTGAATATCTTTGAATTTACAAAATACTCCCTAAATACTGCAGATGTGTCTGCAACTACCAGCTGTTATCTTTAGATCTTCAGATCTTCAGTCGTCTTCCACGTCGTCCCCCTCGGACTCCTCGTCCCTCCTCTCGTACACTTTATCCCTCTGCCTCTCCTGGATCTCCTTCATCTCCTCCGCGTATCTCCCGAAGGCTCCTCCGAACTTGCCCCAGGCCTTCAGCGGCACCGTGATGGAGTTCCTGTAGCTGGGCTTCACCTCGCTGACCCGCAGGAACACGCCGTATTTGTTGGAGCCGACGTCGAAGAAGAACCGCTTGGAGTCCACCATGATGGAGGTGCCCTCGGGTAGCTCGCTGCAGGAGGCCGCACCTCCTGCGGCCAGCTCCTCGTCGTCTCCTCCGTAGTCGTCTATGAGCTTCGCCAGCGCGTCTCTGAACTCTATGAGCCCCTGGGCCGGAAGCGCTATGGTCTGTCCGGACAACATGCCGCCCGTTGGGCCTCCGACGCCTCCGAAGCCGGGGCCTCGATTTACCGTCTGCCGGATCCGGAGGAACCTCCCGCGCTGGTTCTCCTTCAAGTCCAGGTAGTACTTGCGGTTCTCCCGGACGAGGAACTCGCTTTTAAGAGCTCGCCGAGGACCGCCGTCCTCACCCGCGGTGCTCTGGGCGATCTGCTCCGGGCTGCTAGGCCCCAGCTGCGCGTAGTGCTCGATGAAGTCCCCGAGGTAGTCGCGGAACTCCGCCGCCACCGATAGGGAGAGGGTCAGCCGGCTCTTGGAGCCGCCGGCTCCCACCTCGGCAATTTTGATGAACCGGCCTTTGCTGTTCTGCTTCACGTCCAGGTAGAAGCGCTTGTTTTGGATGTCGAGGCGCTTGGACGCAAGCTCCTGGGTCTCCTGGTCCCTCTGGAAATGCTGGAAACCACCACCGCCACCGCCTCCACGCTCACTCCCGCTGTCGCCATCCGCCATCTTTCAGCTCCACCATTCGGCTTCTGCCGCCTCTCTCTCCTGCGTAGCTGCTTTCTGCGTGCACTCCCAGCCAGCGCGCGCTCGTTATGGGTGCACTCCAGGGGAGCGTCGTGATTGGTCTAACCGTCTGTCACTTCCACGAGTTCACACGGTTACGGCTTTCCCATTGGTGACTTGATTTTTTATCCGTCACGCCCACATGTAAAATCTCTCATTAGCCGTTGGTCAGATTGCGGTTCCGTTTACGTGCTTCTTCTTCTACAGTTTTTTTTCGTCGTGATTGGTCCAGCCGTCTGTCACTTCCACGCGTCCACACAGGTTACGGCTTTCCCATTGGTTGCTTGATTTTTCTTCTTCTTCTTCTTCTTCTTTTGAGGTTTATTGGCGGTTGGCAAACTATGAATTGGAGCATTACCGCCACCAACTGGTCTGGAGTGTGGATCAGGATGTCTAGTACTTATAGTATAAAAAGTAAAGAAATAAGAAACTAAACAAAACTTGCTTGATTTTCTCTGCCACGCCCACATGCAAAATCTCTCATTAGCCATTGGTCAGATTGAGGTTCCGTTGGCGTACTTCTTCTTCTGTTTAAAAAAAAAAAAAGAAATCTACTCCATCTTGTTGTGAAATCTTTGTTTTTATGACATAATATTATGGAAATGATGTGTTTCCTTCTGGCTGCAGCTGGTAAACTGTGTCGACATACTTTGTTTTTCCTCACAAAGTTGCAGTGGAAATAAATTTAGAAAAAAAAAAGTGAAATAGTTTTGTGACCGACTCATTTGCCAATTTCTAACAATAATGTATTTTCTGTTATTGTTAGTGGTAGAAGAACTTGGAGTTAAAATAGCAATACAACAAAGTAAAATACTCCATTACAAGTACAGGTTTTACATTCAAGATGTCACTTAAATATAACAGTACACAAGTGTTATCAGCAAAATAAGTACCACAAGTAAATTATTAGTTATTGGAATGTGAACTCGTGCATGATTGTTAATTAGAACTAATTAATATACAGCTGGATAGTTAAATCTATAATTAAAAAAGTACAAATATACTCAACGTACAAGTACCTGAAAATTGCACTTAAGTATTTTACTTGAGTAAATACTCTGTTGGTTCCAATCACAGCAGTACATGTACATAGGAATACTTTTGTTTAATGCTAAGGCAAATATTATATGTACTACAATAGTACAGTGAAATGTTTTCCTGAAAAACTACCACAATTATGGTAAATGTTAAAATAGTACAACAATACTAGAAGTAAAGAAGTCATAAAGAAGGTGAGCTGACTCAGGAATGTCCTTTATACATATTCATCTATAGATACTTGAAGTACCAGTAAAAGTACTTATTATGCAGAATGACCCATTTCACAATAATATATAGATCATAATATTATTGGAATATAATTATTGATTAAGTACTGTGTTGATTATACTTTATCAGCCACGTTTGTGAATTACATCATCGTTTATTTCGAGATTATGTTTTGTATTATTAATTTGAATCTGAAAAGTAACTTATTAAAATAAACGTAAAGGAGTAAAAAGTACAATATGTACCTCTGAGATGTAGTGGAGTAGAAGTATAAAGAAGCATAAAATGGAAATACTCAAGTTAAGTACAAGTACCTCAAGATTTGTACTGAAGTACTGTGCTTTAGGGGCTAAATACTACACTTTGCACTACTACTGCATGTATACAAGTATTCCATTATTGTTGCAGTACTCATCTCTGCCCACAGATTGCAGCAGAGTCTCACTTTCATCTCAGCCGGACATTCAGAGATGAAACCACAGCTTCCATCCTCACCAGTACCACTCTGGAGGTACTTGTACTGCTCCTTT